GGGCCAGGAACTGCTGACCCGGCTAAAGAATGTGCTTTGCTTGGTGTTAGCATTCCAGGATCAGCTTGGGAGGCCAAGGGCTTGAGTCGGCAGCAGAAACCAAACACAAAGCAGAGAGGTGGTACTGAACAGCGCCCCCTCCCCCGCCCGGCCGTGATCTGGGTACATATTCCTTGTATTTCCTAGTCACCCTAGGTCTCCCCTGAATTGAGGCAGAACCAGCAGGAAGAAAATGCTCTCTCATTTTTGGGAAGGGGACATTTATATGAACTGAAGTTACCAGGCCCTGAGCTACAGGGCAGCCTAGAACTCTATGCAAAAACCATTTTCAAGTTCAGGGTTTCCTTAGACCAAGTAGACAGGGAAACTGAGTCACTGGTCCAGGTCATGTGACCAGCAGGCAGAAGAGCCCTGTCTCAGACTGTCACTCAGGTTGTTGTGTTCCTTGGGTCATTCACATCAACTACCCACGCACGCAGCATCTAACCCAGGGCTCAGGGAAGGGGCATCAAGGTTGTGGGCACGGTGTGTTGACAACAGGAGAGACTTGTACTCATCTTAGCCCATCATCAGTACTGGGTCACTTGGGCTTGAGTGCCACCACACGGGGAAAGTATTCGGCATCTCAGGGGAGCACTAGAGGACTCCTATAACTTTTAACACCTGCCTAAAAGCAGACGACCCAGCTTTTCAATCCTCCAGAAGGATGAGACGTCCTTCGCAAACCACTGACTGGAACCCCCAGAATTTAAAACTAGCTAGGTATCCACCCCTCAAGCTCCCAGCACCCACAGCCCCACATTTAGGAGCTTAAATATTAGCACATGGGTAGTTAGTAGGCCCTTCTTTCCCTCCCTCGGACAGCTCCCCCCACCCCAACCCCACCCCTGGCTCCCAGCATGTTCTAGGGCAGTTTCAACAATCACTCATTAGCTCTGAGCTTATCTTCACTGTCCTCCTGCCTGGGTCAAATCACCGGAGCTCAAGTGTTTGTTAAGTCCTTGTTGTACAGCCTCCCAGCTACACACTTGGATCTCCTCCAGGATTGGCAGAGGGGAGTTTGGGAAGATGGAAGGCCAGCAAAAGCCCAAGGAGACAGCTAGGAAGCCATTTGGTACGAAAGCAAGTTCATGAGAGAGACATGTGATGAGTTTCGTACATGAACACAGAGCATCAGGAGACTAGGCAAACCAGACTCCTTACCCAACCAAATCGGGATAGCAAACACTGCCGTCTCTGGTGCCATCTGTGTGACGAGTTTCATACATGAACACAGAGCATCAGGAGACTGGGCAAACCAGACTCCTTACCCAACCAAATTGGGATAGCAAACACTGCCGTCTCTGGTGCCATCTGTGTGACCCTGTAGGAACAGGTTCTTCGTTTTTCTGTGTCTTAGCTTACTTACAGTGGGGATAATCACATGCTGGTCCCTAGTGAGGGGCGAGTTCACCAGGACAGGCCAGCTAAGGCTGCCACATTCCTTGTAGGACTTGCTAAAATTTCCGATTGTTTGTAGCTCACTAGCTCCATTTTGTATTTCCGGAACTCATTTGGCCCTCACAAGGCAATGTGAAGGGGCACAGCCACGATGTCAGGCCGGGCAGGTTTATTTGCCTCCGGCTATGCAACTTCCTAGCTGGTGACACTGTATCTAGGATGCTTAGAACTCGGATGTTCTCAACAAATTATAGGTAGACTTCATTATAATCACTGAGGATAGTCAGTCCATAAGTCCATCAATTCTACGTTTGGCCAGAAGAGGGCAGATTTGAGCCAGATAACTCAATTTCCTAGCCTATAACGTTTATCCAGACTCAATGGATTCTCACCTCCTAGTTTTGGAGAGCCAGCTTTAACAGGCTCGTTCCTGTTCACGCAGTTCCACCAGCCGCTGAGAGGGCAAGGTCCACACATTCCGGCCTTACTGTCCACCACGAGGTGGGGTTAAAAGGTGACTCAGGGCCGTAACTCATCTGAGCTCCAAGGAAAAGGCAGTTTAATGACCAATGTCTCTGGCTGGAGGTGGGTGGTGCGCTGAGCCCGCAGCCACTCTTTCTCCCTGAGAAAAAGGGAGAATTGAGCATCTGTACCAAGACAGTCCCGGGGAGCAGACACTCTGGGATCCGCCTTGCTGCCTCTCATCTGTGCTCCTGCCTGTACTCTGCACCCAGCATATGTCACGGTATCTTGCTCGGAGGTGCTCCCACATCCCACCCAGTCCCCAGCATGGGGCACCTTCAGACTACGGTGTGCAGGACAGGAGTGGGTACTTATTCCCAGCGAGTACACAGAGGCCTATTTCCCTCAAGGGCCTCCAAATGGCTAGCTGGTGATTGGGTGTGAGAGTGAGAAGTGCCTCTTCTTAGGGCTGGAGTGTCAAACAGATAGGACCAAGAGTGGCTCCACTCAGCCTGGACATCCAGCACATCTTATCCAAACATCTAAACCCAAGACTCAGTCACTGAGCCACCTCCCAAGCCTCCCTTTACAGAAGGGAAGTTGAGTCCCAGTACTTGGCTGCTCTATTCAGTAGCTCTTTTTTTTTGTTTTTTTTTTTTTGTTTTTGTTTTTCGAGACAGGGTTTCTCTGTGGCTTTGGAGGCTGTCCTGGAACTCACTTGGTAGTCCAGGCTAGTCTCGAACTCACAGAGATCCGCCTGCCTCTGCCTCCCGAGTGCTGGGATTAAAGGCGTGCGCCACCAACGCCCGGCTTCAGTAGCTCTTAAATAGCTTTGCTGCTGTTTTATGTGTGGGGGTACTTTGCCTTCTTGTATGCCTGGTGTCCTTGGAGGCCGGAAGAGCCCACCAGATCCCCTGAAACAGGAGTTGTAGCTGGTTGTGGGCCAGTGTGCTGGTGCTGTGAATTAAAACCCCGTCCTTCGGAAGAAAAGCCAGTGCTCTCAACAGCTGAGCCGTCTCCCCAGCCCTGCTCAGTAGCTCTGATGGCCAGGTCGGTTCATTTGCCTCCACCGTACATTCATTTGGTCAGTGTGAGTCCACTGGCATCTTGATCTGCCTAGCAGTGTACCAGGTGTTGGGGATGTTTAGAAATAGGGAGGCATTTCTAGATCAAGTCTTTTTTTGTTTTGTTTTGGTTGTTTTTGTTTTTGTTTTTTTGAGACAGGGTTTCTCTGTGTAGTCCTGGCTATTCTGGAACTTGCTCTGTAGACCGGGCTGGCCTTGAACTCACAGAGATCTGCCTGACTCTGACTCACCAGTGCCCGGATTAGAGGCGTGCATCTCCACCACCTGTTTTAGATTAAGTCTAAAAGGGAATCTTGGTTCCTCTGAATAATTGTTTATCTTATGAGGAAATCTTTATCCAGCTAACTAATTGCCATGAGTCCTTCCGCCTTGGCTTTGAGAGCCCTGTTTTTTAGGACGCAGCTCCAAAAACTAACCTCTTTTCATCTGGGCCAGGGGCTCCCCCAGTTCTCATGCCCCCCAGGTCTCCCAGGCCTGCTCTTCTGTTACCGAGTCCGAATCCCTCTGGATGGGCCTCCAGGACCCTGCACACATTAGTGGTCAGATGAACCTTCTCCTTGGCCTTTCTACTTTCACAGATCACTCAGAAGGGGAAGGCAGGCTGGCAGAACATAGGACGCCAAAGCAGTGGACGAACCAGATTCAGAGAGGCTGGTTCCTGGCGGATCTTTTCTGGCTGTAGAGGGCCCCAGGGCAGATTAGATTAAGCAACAACAACACAACTTGATAATTGAGGCTGTGGTCCTATCTGACTCTCTGCTAGGCCTGAAGACACAGCTGGGGATGAGGTGATGCAGAGGAGGGAGGGGGGAGGTCCCCTTGTCCTGTGTTCCCATCTCTGTAGGTCAGCATCATAATCCCAGCTCTGTGACTTTCTTGCGTCAGCTGTGTGGCCTTTGGCAGAAGTAGACTCCCTCTCTACAACAGAAAAGACGGTTCTGGACCTAACCTTCCAGGTCTCTCTAATGGAGTCAAATCTCATGACCAACCGCCTGTTCTTCTGGCTAAAAAACCACAGGAAGAAGATCTGGGACCAGGAAGCCAGCTCCTTACAGATTTAGGGACACAGGGTAGTAAGTCGCTGGGGTGTGATGTACTTTTGTCATGAATGAAAATCCATACAGATGACTGCTTCTTGAGGGAATCCACCCAACCCTATAAATCCTTTTTTTCTTTTTTCCTTTTCCCCAGAAGAGGTAAGGACTTGGCCTGTTGGATCCCAGAGTCCATTTAAAGTTGATGGACCCCAAGCAGCGGGAACTTGGACGCAGGGCAGCTCTCCACCGGGCTTAGCTGGAGTCAGCCCTCATCCCGTTCCATCTCCTTGTTCTTTCTCTTTTATGTCCCTGAAGAAGTTATCAGATGACTTTACAGATTTTTAAATTTTATTTATTGTGAATACATTGTTCCTGCCTACACACCAGAAGGGGGCACCAGATCTCATTATAGATGGTTGTGAGTCACCATGTGGTGCTGGGACTTGAACTCAGGACCTCTGGAAGAGCAGCCAGTGCTCTTAACCTCTTAGCCATCTCTCCAGACCCTTTACATATATATATATATACATGTATATATATGTATGTATGTATGTATGTATGTATGTATGTATATTTGTTTGTTTGGGAGAAGCAATTTACTGCGTGTGGAGAAATACTTAAGGCCTTCTAGTGTCCTCAGATTGTCCCTTGACAACCGAGAACACTGCACAATAGAACAGGTTGGCGCCATTTAGAGGCAAAAGCAATTCAGAGAGCCTTCAAAGGTAAGGACCAGCACTTCAGTAGTAATTTCAGCTCGGCCTCCTTTCTGGCGTTGCTGGCCCTCGGGCCCAGGTGGGCGGGGCTCCATTCACACCTTTCCGCGCCTCGCCAAGGGGAGGAGGCGGGGCAGGAGCCAGTGAGCCAATGCGATAGGCTTTGGTCACGAGTCGCCGGCAAGCGGACCAATGAGATTAGGGGGCGTGGCCGGGGCCTCTCCCCCCCGCAACGTTTTATAGCAATTCGGACCGTGAGGCTCTCTAGCGCGCCGGGGTACGGCTGTGACCTCTGAGCCCGCGGCTCTCCACGCGCTGCTGAGGCCCGACCCCCTCCGCCTCGCCGTCCCGCACAATGGAGTCGGTGGCCTTGTCCCGGCGCGCGGCCCAGGCTCCATCCGCCTCCGCCCTGGCTACCGAGCGCGCCCAGGCGCTGGCGGACGGGCTCATCAAGTCGCCCAAACCCCTGATGAAGAAGCAGGCGGTGAAGCGGCACCATCACAAACACAACCTGCGGCACCGCTACGAATTCTTGGAGACCCTGGGCAAGGGCACCTACGGGAAGGTGAAGAAGGCACGAGAGAGCTCGGGACGTCTGGTGAGTGTCCCTCGCAGCGCCCGGCTCCCGGGAGCTCACCGCGCGTCCCTTGCGGTGTCCTCGGCTGAGTTGCCAGGCGCGCACATTTTAGATGTGTCTGCCCCTGGTTTTCAGCGACAGTGCTCGTGGACCTGAGAATCTTAGCAGCACCAGATGCCTGTCGTTTGAGAAGATGGGGCTTCACTTGAATTTTCACTGGAACAAACTTCTACGGAGTAGAATGGAAGGAGGAAGTTGAAAGCACCAGATCTCAGTAGATGGATGAGGTGTGGAGAGATCGTTAACTGACTTGACACTTGGGTCCTTTCCAGCCGAGACTGAATCAAAGTTTCGTTATGAGGGGCTTTGATTCTGGGAAATGTAAAACCAGGCTCTGGTGCCAGGTCCACTGTATTTCGAGGCCTTTGGGGGAACTTGTCCTGTTGATTTCATGCGTGTGTAATCGCCATAGTAATCTGTAACTTTGAGCAAGTTCCTTAATCTCTGTATTCTGTTTCCCCTTCTGCAAAAACAGAGAACACAGTCTGTCTCACAGGCTGCTTGGGAGAGTGAATAACATACAGATGAGAATGCATGCGGGTCCTGATCACAGGTCTTGTACTGAGAATGGGTGCTTATATCTGGAAAGCGCCCCACCCCCACCCCCGAGGATAGCAAATCTACCAAAAGTTACACAGCAGTGGTTCTCCCACTCCAGTTCAGTGGGCCTACGCACTAGCTGGGTACTTGTTTAAAATGCCCAGTAGTGTGTGATAAAGGTCTATAATTCACACCGTAGCAAGCCTCAGAGCAGGTGGTTTAGGGATTATATTTTGCCAGATCCGGTGAGTGCTGGTTGTGAGGTGTGTGTGTGTGTGTGTGTGTGATCATAGTTTGCGTTATTGACTATGGCAGTGGTCCCCTCCCTCATTGTTTGCTTTTGCAGCCAGTAGCTGGTTTGAAATTCAAGAAGTCATTTCATTGGTGAAGGAAAGGGGATGTTGGAGAAAGGAGTGGATTATGGCCCCATCAATAGGAGCAAGTATGTTTTTCCTGCTAAGGCCTGGCACAGTCCCCAGTTGCCCGCTGCCAGGTTACAGCTATTGGGCAATCGTGTACTTCCTGGCTGTCCTTTCTTTCTCTTTCTATAAAGTGCCAGGGCCCTAGAGGCCCCAGGTTTGAGACGGCCGGGCCCAAGCTTTGTCAGGGGCTTAGCTTGAAAATTCTTGCTTGTGGCTTGTGCCCCGCATCTCGTGTTGTGGGAAAATTGGGTGCAGGGAACTCGAGTGGCTGAGAAACTGAGATCAAAGTTCAAAGATCCCATCAGCTCTTCACTGAGGTCACTGTCTTACACACACACACACACACACACACAGAGAGAGAGAGAGAGAGAGAGAGAGAGAGAGATTGAGATCACATTCAGGCCTTGGTGGCTCTTACATCAAAACCGAGAGAATTCAGAAGGAACTCTCAGGTTCACGTGTCTTGCTGTGTACAAGGAGCCAAGATCAGCAAATGTGAGGTCTACTCTGAAACTCCCCAACCAGACCACCCAGGATTGCTGTTGAGAGTTTGCTCAGAGTACCCCCACTTTCTTGGAAAGCAACTGTCTGCTATGCTAATGATTTCTCAATCCTGGAGCAATGCCTTCTCCCCCACCCACCCATCCCTGTGTCTTGACTGTTCTCCTTAAAGAGAGACCTGATGCTTCAGCTGTGTCAGTGGGGGAGAGAGACTTGGAGCTGCTTATGTCTTCCCCAGATGAATGGAGATGGGGATGAGATTTCAGTTCACAGGGAAGCCTGCTGGGTGACGTCGGTCTGGAATGGCTCACCACATTTCTAGCTCTCTTCCCACTCTCTCCCCTTGCAGAGATGGTTAGGAGGGTCCCATAGGATTATCCTCAGGGAAGATGGGGGGGGGGGCTGATGACTGCACCAGGATGGCATCAGAGGAAAAACAAATATTTGCTCTGGATCTCAGACACATTCCTGGTACCCAAATGACATTTCCTCCTGCCGAGTCTCCCAGCTCCCCTACCCAACCCCTCTCCCTGAAGAGAAAAACATCTGCTGGGGGCCCACCAAATCCTGTGGTCTGACCTGCATCGAAGTCTCCCTCACCTCTAAGGGGTGCCATGAGGGGCAGGAAGGGAGCCCAAGTGGGGAGTTCTATGCGGTCTCTGCCCCTTTTACATTTCAGTTGCTTAGTGGGCTTCAAAGCATTGGGAAACAATGGAGAGAATTGTCCCCTTGGTTGACAGACAAGGGAACTGAGGCCCAGAAAGGGGAAGTGATTTGTCTTCTGGCTGGGTAATGGCAGATCTGCAACATAAGCTCCAGACTTGTCCACCCTAGGTCTTGGATGACCAAGTGCTGAGTCTTGGTCTAGAAGTTAGCTTTGAGATGAGCCTGGGCTTGCCTGGGCGCTTTGTCATCCCATCAGCGAGCTCCAGCTGCCTCCCCAGCTCTCCAGGCAATGTTTAGAGTGGGAGAAGTCACTGGGAACCCCCCTTCTCAGTACTGTGTTGAGGGACTGTGGGTGAAGGAACGACACTATATTCCTGCAAAGTGTCAAATGGTGTTTCCCGTTGTTTACCAGATGGGTGACCTCTTATCTGTAAAATGGGGATTGTAATCATTCCTGTGTTGTGGGTCTCTCCTAGAACTGAATACAACAATATCTGTGAATCTTAGCACAGTGTTTAACACACATGGGGTTTATTATAAGCTCCAGGAAGGGTGGTGTTGGCCTAGGTACTCCTATTCTGGGCCTCTCCTGCTACAATAAGGAGCATGGATTGTGCTCAGCCTTCTTGAGTTGAACCACTATGGTCTCTCTTTGTTCAAAGCCCTCATCTCTCATTCAGCCAACTTCAGAGGACTCCTGCTGGCCAGCAGCCAAAGGCTTGTTGGGCAAGATGCTATCCTCCCAGCTCCTCCTGCACCTGCCTGCTCAGCAACAGGGAGGGAGGCTGCAGGCGACTCTTGTCCTTGGGCTTTAGCCAAGCCGCACAAAAGCGCTGGGCAGGGAAGCTCCTTGCTCAGGAACCTAGCAGAGTGGGCTAGCAGGAGGCTAGGAGGAGGTGGCATTATATAGGACCAGGGGAGATGGTTCAAGTCACCCACAGAGCCTCTTCCTGATTCCTGTCTAGTTCTTGGTAGAGTGGCACATCCCCACTGCTCAGCTGGGGCAGCCTAGCCTAACTTCTCCTGCACTATCTAAGTGGGTCATCATTCAGCTCCTTGCCTGCTTCCCAGACAGCATCTTCTCCATGAAAGGCTAGAGAGGTGTCAAGGATGTTGGCTATGACCAGAGATGCCCAACTTGTACCATCTCTCTCTGCATCCAGAACCAGTATCTCTGGCCTCCATCCCCACCCCTTCTCCTAAAACTTTCTGATTACCTTCTGAAGACAGATCATTCCTAATCTGAGCTCTGGGAGAGAGGAGGTATTTACCAATGGGGCCTCAGCTCCACCTTCTCGGGGTGTTGCCAAAAGAGGGCATGTTTTAAGTGGGAAAGAATGGCACACAGTGTGGCCTATGGCAAGATCTGGACAGTCCCTTCTCCAGGAATGGGAGGCAGGGCTGGACACCTCCAAGGAACTTTTGTCTTCTGAGATACTAGTTTGTCCTCCATTGTGGTCTTGTCCTGTTCATGGAGGAACTTTGGAGAAGTTGGTTTACCTTTCTGAAGTGTTCACTGCTTGCAAATCAGGTTAGGGAATTAGCTTTTCTGCCTTTAGCAACTTGCATGACTTCAGAGACAAAACTCACTGGGATGATTTCAGCAGGAATTTTGCTCTGGCATTTAGCATGGCCAAGCGTGGTGGCCTTGCAACAGTCCTTGTGTGGCACCTTCTTGACATTGCAATGACCCATTTCTGAAGAAGCTCTACACAGAATGGATCATGGAAGGGAACTTAGAGCTCCACCCTGATCTGCCTGGAATGTTCTTCTTGCTCTTTCCTAGCCTACTGTATTAGCTGAAAACCTCACCTATCTTTCTAGATGTGAAACAGTTTGCTCCTGGGCTGGTTTCCCATGCTCTCCTGAGTAAAGAAAGCCACTTGTGCTCCCCAAGATCTTCCACAAGAGAGGATATTAAAACTAGACAGCCAAGGATTGGAGAGATAGCTCAGCAGTTAAGAGCACTTGCTGCTCTTACAGAGGACCTGAGTTTGGTTTCCAACATATGTGACTGCTCAGAACCGTCTGTAATTTCTGGGGATCCAGAGCCTCTTTTTACCTCCACGGGCATTGGATGCATGTGGTACACATACATGGCACATAGGTAAAACACCCATTTGCATAAAATAACAATAAATTAATATAAATAAACAAACTAGACAACCCAGGCAGCTGGATTATCCTAGTTTTATGTGCCTTGAGTTGTATGACTTGAGACAGACAAGTGTGAATTGGGTGCCTGGGTTCATAGGGTCCACTTGGCTGGCCATGTGTTCTTATACAGAATCATCATTGGGCTGGTTTATCCTTCTTCTACCTCAGAGTGCAGTGGCCTTATAATAAACTGATTAGATGCAGGTAATCTGCAGAGTAAAAGGGACAGTGTTAAAAACTGTGTCAGGGAGCTCAAATGATGTCTCCATGATTAAGAGTACTTGCTACTCTTCCAGAGAACCCAGTTTGGATTCCCAGCACCCACACTGTGGTTCACAACCATCCATAACTCCAGTTCTAGGGAACCTGGCACCCTCTTCTGGCCTCCCTGGGACCAAGCACACACATGGTGCACATGCATATACATGCAAATAAAACATGCAGACACAAAATTAACAAATTTACAGCATTAGAAAAATATATTGTATCAGGACAAACGAAGACCCTAGCATGTGGCCATCCTCCCTCTGGGTTTGGGTACCTGTCTTTAGTTTATATGCTCTTCCTAGGCTTTAGTCAGCTTGTTTTTATCCTAAGGCACAGTTGCCAATTACCTTGCAGGTGAGAACAAAGGTCCCTAGAAATTAGTTCTTGTAACTGAGGTGAATTCCACCCAGACCTGGGAGGGAATGGAGCGGGGAAACCCTATCTGGTCACTGGTTCCTTCAGGCAAAGATCACTCAGGGACTTAGCCGATAGGTATGTGTAATGAGTGTTCACTAGTGTACAGGAGTTAAAGGTTCTTTGTGCACAGGGCCCTTTCTTGGCTAGAGTGGTACTATATCTAATTTACTTTGACATACTAGGGCTGGGAGAGTTTGGAAACAGTGGCCTAGCCCCACCAAGGCAGTGTTAAATCAGTCCTGGTCTGTCACTGTTTTGGAGATTCATAGAAGAACATGTCTTTTTCCTGGGAAGTGCTAAACAGGACCTCTTAGGGCCCTCTGTGGATAACTAGGGGTTCAGCAACCTACTCCTGGCCCCTCTCATGTCTTGTAGGAGATTGAAACTGGGAAGAAAATTAGAATTTCAGACCTTCTAAGGTTACAAGAAATGGGTCTTGAGGTTTTTACTTGTGTGCCCGCTGTCCATACCAAATATTCCTATCACTCTCAAAATCTGTTTTGGAAACTTATTTCTTTTAACTCTTACTGCTTTTAGGGCTCTGTCCCTAAGCCTGTGGTGTCATCTCAATATTCCATACGCGTGTGTATACACAGCTGTGCATGTAGCACCTGCCTGGTCTTTGCCTGGATGCACTTTAAGCTCTCAGGCATTTGTAGTTGTCTAGATAGTGATGTGTGTGTTTACATATGTCTGTTTTTCCTGCCTACTAATATATCTTTGTCTCTAAAGAGTTCATAGCCCTTTACTCATTGTCTGATTTTACAAACAAAGACTTACAGCTATGCAAGCTATGCAATCTCTCCTTCAGGGTGAGAAAGTGGTGTGGAGAAGAGGCCTGTGGGAGTGTTGCTCAGTGTTGAATTCAGGAGAGGTGTTGAAGGAATATTCAGGGCCTGTGCCCTGCTCCCCTGTTTTGCCCCCGGGGGCTTTTCTGCCTGGCTCTTTAGGGAGAAATGAGTAGCATTAGAGCAGACGGTTGCAGCAGCCTGGCGCTCACATCTGCAGCATCCCCCTGCCTTGGGCCTCTCCCGGATGAGGCTCCATGGTGACCATCTGCCATTGTCCTCCCTGCCCTGCTCTGGGAAGGGTGAGAATGGGGCCTGCCCCCTTTCAGCACTGCTGCTTTAGGGCAGGATGGGGTGGAGGGCACGCCATCCATGGCCCGTTGCCGGGGTGACCGGGCTGTGGGCATTGTGAGCAACTCCTCTGACAGGATTAGGGCTATTCCACATTCTTGTCAGTGGGGAGCACAAGCCCAAAGAGCCTGCTGTCCCGAGAGCAGAAGCCATTGTCTACCTCCAGAGCCCATGAAAGAGTGGATTAGAGCCCTACCCCTTGGGCTGGGGTTTCCTTTCTGTCTCCTTTTGAATCCAGAGGGGAGGCTGGCCCTCCTGGAAATTGAATGAGGAGCTGTTTACCTCAGTCTGGGCCTTCATATTTCTCATTACTTGTGTGAAGAGGAAGTCTTGTGTTTACCACTCTGCTGGTGTCCTTGGACAGAACTTGCCAGGAACTGACTGGCCTGGGACACCCAATCCTCACCCAGACTCTGAGGGCCCCTGGCATGCATACAACTCATTTCACAGACTTGGAGCAGCAAAACCCTTCAGACTACTCAGTTCAGTCAGTTTTGCTCACAGAAAGGCAGCTGAGGCTCTGAGAGGGTGGAACTTGCCAAAAGCCACCAGGACAGAACCTGATGAAGATGGGTCCTGGCTCTATGGCTTCCCATTAGTCACTCTGGCTGTGCCTCATCCTAGAACCACTGCTGACTGCCTTGGATCAGGGAGACTGAGGCTCTTAGGTGTGAACTGCAGTTCCTCCCTTTCCTCTGTACCTACCCTTCCTGAGGCCACCACACACCAGCTGGAGGAGCTAGAGTAAGACACCAAATCCCAGGGTACTGTCTATCTAGTTGTTTGTTTACTTGTTGGGAAAAAAGGGACATTCCTTACCTGGACTTCAAAGACTGTTCTGTGGAGAGTGCTTCCTTCGTTGTTATGGTGATTTTTTTTTAATTATGGAAAAATACATATATGAAATTTGCCATTTTAACTACTTTTATGTGTATAACTCAGTAGCATGTTAAATATATCCACAATACTGTAAATCATCACAGTATAAAATAGCTTTCTTTTAAATTTTTCATATGTAAATTTCATCTTCTCTGGGTGTGTTTGTGCACCTGCAAAGGGCATCTGATCCCTGGGAACTAGATTGTGAGCTACCATGTGGGTGTCGGGAACCAGACTCTCATCCTTTGGAAGAATAGCCAGTGCTCTTAGCTGCTGAGACATCACTCCAGACCTCTAAAACCTTTTTTTTCTTTTTTCAGTCATCCCAAATAGAAGCTCTGTGGCCATTAAATGATAACGCCTCTACCCACCCACCCAATGCCACCCTTTAGCCCTATACTCCTGGTAACTTTTGATCTATTTTCTGTCCATACAGTTGTTTGTTTTAGTACCTCACATAATATTTGTCACTGTGTGACTAGCTTATTTCACTGAGTATATTTTCATGGTTTAGCTATCTTGTAGTAGGTGTCAGAATTCCATTCCTTTTTCTGGCTGATTAATACCAAATTTTGTCTAGCCATTCATCTGTTGATAGGTATTTGGGGTGTTTTAATTTTGGGCTAACGAATGGTTGTTTATAGCAAACTGGAGTGTGGGACAGAGAAAGGACTAAACTCAGATTTAGGTTGCCAGCTGTGCTCACCAGTGACTGTGGCTTTAAGGAAAGCACTTAGCCTCTTGGGTTCTAGTTACTTCACTTGTGAAAGAGAGTGAGGATGCTTTCTTTATCTAATTCCCAGAGTTGTGTGAGGACCAGTTTGTTTATTAACGTGGAAGTATTCACTTGTAATGCATGCCAGATCCTTGTCTTTAGGGTGTACAGTGTGTATTTGACTAGTAAATCTCAAAGTGTCAAACCTCACAGGTGTAGGTTGTTATGTTTCTTGTTCACTGGTAGACTTTGAAAGTGAGGCCATTGGTCAGTCAGTGCTGCTTCCTCCTGGATGGACTGCACTGGACCCAAGTGAGAACCTTTTCTAGACAAGGCCATCTCCAGGTTCCTGTCACCTGCTCTGGTAAAGATGGGTGGCTTCTCTTGGTGCATTCTGTGGTTTGAGTTGCAGCTGCAGAGTACCAGGGTCAGGACTCATGTAACATCCTCAGGGATGTCTCTGCTAGACTTTTCTCCTTAATTTGGGGCATCCTCTTTTCCCAGGTGGCCATCAAGTCAATCCGGAAAGACAAAATCAAAGATGAGCAGGATCTGTTGCATATAAGGAGGGAGATTGAAATCATGTCGTCACTCAACCACCCGCACATCATTGCCATCCATGAAGGTATAATTGTGGGACATTTGGAACTGGGAGTCATGAGTGTGTGTATGTGTAAGTCAGAACTGCCAACAACATGAACCCACTGGTACATGCCTGTAATCCAACTGTGATGCCTGTAACTCCAGCCCCAGGAGGCTTAAGACAGGAGGAATATAAATTCGAGGCCAGCCTAAGATGCATAACTGGGCCCTCCCTTTAAATAAATACATAACTTAAATAAATAAAGGTCTTTTAAAAAAGAAGTAAGAATAATAAAGGCTTTAGAGTTGCAAAAGCTAGATTCAAAACCCTGCCACATGACACAGAGCACTCATAAGAACTGGGCCTTAGTTCCCTTTTACAAAATGGAACAGTCCCATTTATATCACAGGGTGGTTGCAAAGATCCAGCTGTATGGTATCTTTGAGTACTCTGTAAGTGGGAAAGCTGTAGGTTTGTTAGTGTGTTTGTAGCACGGCTGGCGCCCTACCTAGAATCCCATACTTGCTAGGTAAATGCTATAAACTGAGCTGCACCCTCACCCCGGACTGCAAGCTTTTTGTCCTCATTGAGTTTTTCCTAGTAGCACAGCCTCCCAACCCCACGATGTCCTTAGCAACCCGGGGGGGGGGGGGACTGAAATGCCAGAGTGTGCACCTGTCTTGGGTGTGTGGGTGCTGCTCACCCCTCGTCCGTTAGCCAGGCCTCCTAGTCATCCTGTGTCCTCGAATCACTCGTGCCATGGGCTCACTCTGCTCTTCTTGTCTCTCGGCCTCTTCTCCTCGGGTATCAGTTCTGGCTCGATCACTCTGCTGCCCTCCTCCCTGTGGCCCAGACAACAAAGTGAGCAGGAGAGGGTGACGAGGGAAGAAGGGAGAACACCCTCCCACACTCCCTGTCTGCTTCAAGTCTTTATGTAACATCAGCTAAATGGGATCATGGGGACAGCGGGAGGAGGGAGGGGAGGAAGAGAGCCTGTGGATTTGTCTAGAGTGCTTTTTTTCTGTATGAAGACTCCTGGTAGGAAGAACAGAGATGTCTCTACTCTCAGGTTCATAGGACGATAAAGGGCAAAGCTACTGTTATGATCCTGTGGCTTGAGCCTGTCCCATGAGGAGCCCAGACAAGTGACTGATGAGGCTAATTGTATTTCTCTTTTCTCCCTCTGGGAGTAGTGAGCAGGCCAAGCTTGGTGATTGGCAGTGTGTGTGTGCCTGTCCTCACATGCATGAATCTGTGTATATATGAAGTCTCTCCATCCCCAGTTTCTGTCTGGGTCTGAGAACTGAGCTGATGTTCAGGGTGTGTGTGTGTGTATGTGTGTGTGTGTTGATGGTGCAGACACAGGACATTAATGTTATTGGGTGTCTGAGGGATCCTCTGGATTCATCTTCCTCTTTCTATAGGGCTTTAGGTGTTTGGGGCTGGGGAAGTACTGGGATGACTTCTAATCTAAATGTTTCCACAGATGCATGGTGCTAGCTCTTTATCCTTGTTTCCTAGCATAAAGGTTGCTTATAAACTGAGAATCACATGAGTGGAGTCTCAGTCAGGCACCCTTAAGAGCCTGGGTCACCCTGTTCACCTGCAAACCAACACTAGAAGCCTTCTTCTGGCCCTGGAGCTGACATCTGGGAGTGGGGACTCATCTTAGAGGCTGGACAGCAATAGCTCTGGGGCTGGCCAAGCAAGCCAAACTCATAGGACCCGTTTACCACAAGATGCAATGTCATAGACAAGCGTGTTCTGACACACCAGCTGAAGGGCCAGTTTGATGAGGCAATTCTTTTCAACTTTTCTGGAGGACTGAAGCCAGGACACAGCCTGGAGTGGTGAGACAGCCCCTCCTACACATGGAGATGGGCTAACTGGGGTGGGCTGACTGCCAAGAAGCCAGACAGCCAATTAATTACCCCATATTTATCGATTGTCTCTGTGTCTGAGGCCATATGCACTCTTGCCATAGCCTGGGTACCCTGAATGGGAAGTCAGAAGTGGCAGGAGTGACTCCCACTGTCACAAGGCAGATCTCGGTTTTTAGAATTATACATGAGGACACTGAATATAGCCATAGGTTCCATTTTCTGAGCACTTTCTTGTGGGTCAGGTACTTGTCACTGATTGCCTACCTGTTTCTTACCCCAGTCCTATGAAGCTGCTCTCAAAGGAGGAAACTAAGGCACAGTGGTGTGAAAATTTGTCAAAGTCCATCCAGTAACTCTGTGTTCTCACTGATAGATCTGGTAGAGATTTGACCAAGGTCATAAGATGAAGTATAGGGTCAGAATCAAAGAGCCCTGCTTTTTATTCCTAGCAGTGGTATCTTTGTCCTCCTTGGCGTTTGCAGAGTTCTTGAAGAGCTAAACCTAGCCACTGACCTCAGGACTTGATTTGCTGGTCCTAGAAGATGCTGAGCCTTCAAGCCTCTTCTCCCACCGTTATTGCTTGCCCTGAGGCCCCTGGCCCTGTGGCAGACATTCCAGAGGAAGAGACTGTGGCCCATGGTGGGACAGTGTTCTCTGGGAGACCTGACATTCTCATTTCCCCTCTCCAGTGTTTGAGAATAGCAGCAAGATCGTGATTGTCATGGAATATGCCAGCCGGGGTGATCTGTATGATTACATCAGTGAGCGGCCACGACTGAGTGAGCGGGACGCCAGGCATTTCTTCCGGCAGATTGTCTCTGCCCTGCACCACTGCCACCAGGTGAGCACCTGCTGGTATCTCTGGGGCTCTCAGTTGGCTTAGACCATAAGGCTTTTAGACTCTCAGACCAAGGGGTGCTGGTATCTCTGGCTTTGTGCTCTTGATCATGGAAGGGCCTATGATTTCTTCAACTATGTCAGTGAATTTATGTGCTCCAGCCTGGTGGTCTCAACTCTGTTAGTTCAATTTTCTAGACTAGGTCCCTTGTCCCCTTCCCTTTCCTGGTGATGTTCCCTGACTCGGTTCCCTTCCGCTTTTAGAACGGGATTGTTCACCGTGATCTCAAGCTGGAGAACATCCTTCTAGATGCCAATGGAAATATCAAGGTGAGCATCACTTCTGGTTTCTAGAAACTTCTCTGTCACACCCTAAGTTTTCTGTTCTGTCTCCAGTCAAGTAGCTCTGAGTGCTTAGGGGTCCCTTAAGTTAAGTTAACAAACCCTGGACCTCAGGCATCATCCATTCTAACACTTCCTGTATGGATGGGGCACAGAGCTCCCTAAAGGAAGATCCCCCACTAGTGACGGGCAGAGGTTGGTTAGGCAGCAATTGAAACAAAGTCTCCGCCTTCCAGGCCAGTGTCTTTCTAATGTCACAAGGGTGGCAAGGGGCTAATCTAGGGTCAGTTTTTACTGATGACATTGGGACGACAGGTACCGAGCCTCCTTCCTGTCGTCAGTGTGCTCGAACTCAGACCTGCACACACAGCTTAATCTGCTTCAGTCAGGCACCCTAGAGCTTCTTTCACTTTCTGTTTCCCACAACTGCTCGGTTCCCATGCTGCAGCCCCTAGGTTTATGTCAATCGGTGTTTCATGCCAACGAGATAAACTAGAGTCTCAAGGTTGGAAGGGAAAGATGGCAGGAGCTGACTTTGATGACGGGTTAGTCTGCTGAACAACTGGGAGAGTGACATAATCTGACCCTGCTCGGAATCTACTCGACACAGGACAAAGGTCACTCCATGGCTGCTGACCTGTATGTCCTGAGATATCCTGGTGGCCCTTATCCGTCCAGTTCCTGATGCAGGTCGGGTTTCTTTGATGCTGACAGGAAAGGGAGGCCAGAGCCAGTAAACACGCACGAACTAGACAAGCACACAGGCTCTGTTGGTACCAGTCATCAGCATCATTATAGACTCTCCTGGCAACTGCTTGATAAGACGCCAATAAAGCTATAAACAAAGGAGCCAGAGTTTCATAAATAGGCCTCTCCTCCATGCACACACCCTTTGATGGGGTGAAGGGTCAGATAGCTCCAGGGTCTTGGCCTCCACCTCTAGCTGAGGATAGATAGGAAAGAGGATAGCCTTAGAACCTCTCAGGCCACTAAAATCAAACATCACAGGGATCCTCCTGGGCTGTGAACAACACTGCTCTCCCCTCCCCTCCCCCCCTCCCCTTCCCCTTCCTTCCCCTGCTCTTCTCTTCTCTCTGTCTTGGCCATGCATGTCCACCCTGGGTTCCTGTCCAGATATGGACAGAGATGAGTCCTTTGCTCAGAAAGGCAGCTCAGGCTTCACATGGTCACTGAGTCGGGGCCCTTGCTTGCCCATTGAGGGCCTTAGAGCACTGTCTTTCAAGACCTGAACTATGAGATGTGGGTTGGGAGTCCCTTCCCTTCTACCGGGACCTGGCTTTCCCCAGGATCTGGAGAGATGATGGCCAAGAGCTGTGAACAACCCAACCTTTGGCATGACCTGTGCTTGTCCCAACCCTATAGATTGCTGATTTTGGCCTCTCCAACCTATACCACAAAGGCAAGTTCCTCCAGACATTCTGTGGGAGCCCTCTCTATGCCTCACCTGAGATTGTCAACGGGAAGCCCTATGTGGGCCCAGAGGTAAGAACTCTCCTCCAGCCAGCATCCATGAATCTAGGTCAGGCAGGTTGAGCTAGTTGCTAGGTACATCCTTTTTCAGAGCACAAAACGAAGGTCCATTCAAGGCAATGGTTTGCCAAGCCTTGAGACAGAAGTAAAAAGCTGTCAAGAACTTAGGTCTCCTGGTATCGTGTCTCTTTCTTGTCCCCTGGTTCTCATCACTTCCCGGCACTCAGTCCAGTCACCCCCACCTTGACCCAGAATGATGGTGATGACCTGCCCACTGCTCCTATGCTTTTGGCTGACCCTCCCAGGGGAAGTGACTGGCAGTGTCTGTTCTTATGAGATCCTGACCCCTCTGCTGCCTCCCCTACCTCTCCTCTGGTTACAAGGGGAGGTAAGGAAGCCTTCAGATATCTCCTTCACATCATCCGTTGTGTTGGAGATATGAATAGCAGTCCTCTCGTCTGCGGCACAAGCTGTGTCTTTGCTGAGCATCCCTGCCTCTCTTTCAGGTGGACAGCTGGTCTCTGGGAGTTCTCCTCTATATTCTGGTGCATGGCACCATGCCCTTTGATGGGCAGGATCATAAAACACTGGTGAAGCAAATTAGCAGTGGGGCTTACTGTGAGCCCCCCAAGCCGTCTGGTAAGTTAGAGCTGTGGCCAGGCTGGGAGCATGGGGTGCACAGTCCTTGATTCCTGAGACAGTGACTGGATAACGGTGATAGGGAGGGCAGCAGTTCATAGTGACTCCCAGGGAAGATTAGGGTGCTCCCCACTGTTCTCTCCAGTCTGAGACCTCTGAGGAAGGGGGCAGCCTTCTTTATTATAAGCTTGCTTTAGAATGCTTTCGAAGCTCCAGCTTAGTCATCTTTGCTATAGTTGCATTGTCCCTTATTGCCTTTTTCCTTCTCCTAAGAAGTCTGACCTTTTGCGTATGATATAGAGAACAGGAAGATGTATGTGAGAGCCTTGCTTTATTCTTAAGCATAGTCCCTGTCCTCAGAGAATTGAATTTTGGTAGAGAAAGAAAATACTGACATAGAAACAAGGGCTGATAAAGAGAGCTTGTGGGACAGAGGCAGTTGACGGAGTCTGTCTAGGAAAGTTGCCCTAGGAAGTGGACCTGAACCTGTATGAACCCTAAGGAGAGAATGTACTGATCTAACCCAGAAACAAGAGCGCTGTCTGCACTCAAGTGAGACATACTTGTGCTCTATAGAGGACTTTGGGCCATTCTCGTCCTATCGAACTGAAGCCCTTGCCTTTGTTTTTGCAGATGCCTGTGGCCTGATCCGGTGGCTGTTGATGGTGAACCCCACCCGTCGGGCCACACTGGAGGATGTAGCCAGTCACTGGTGGGTCAACTGGGGCTATACCACCAGAGTTGGGGAACAGGAAGCTGTGCGTGAGGGTGGGCACCTTGGTGGTGACTCTGGCCGGGCCTCCATGGCCGACTGGCTACGACGCTCCTCCCGCCCCCTCCTGGAGAACGGGGCCAAGGTGTGCAGCTTCTTCAAACAGCATGTGCCAGGAGGTGGAAGCGCTGTCCCAGGGCTGGAACGGCAACATTCTCTTAAGAAGTCCCGCAAAGAGAACGACATGGCTCAGACTCGGCAGGGTGACCCAGCTGAGGACACCTCCCCTCGCCCCAGCAAGGGCAGCCTCAAGCTACCAAAAAGCATCCTCAAGAAAAAGGCCTCTACCTCCTCAGGGGTGGTACAGGAGGACCCTCAGGAACTCAGCCCAGTGCCTGACACCCCAGGGCAGCCTGTCCCTGCTGCAGCCCTACTCCCGAGGAAGGGCATCCTCAAGAAGTCTCGGCAGCGTGAGTCTGGCTACTACTCCTCTCCAGAGCCCAGTGAGTCAGGGGAGCTCTTAGATGCTGGCGATGCTGGTGACGTGTTTGTGAATGGGGACCCTGGGGAGCAGAAGCCTTCACAAGCCGCAGGGCACCTCCTGCACCGGAAGGGAATTCTCAAACTCAATGGCAAGTTCTCCAGCACAGCCTTAGGAGGCGCCACCCCGAGCACCTTTGGCTCCCTGGACCAACTGGCCTCCCCTCACCCTGTAACCCGGGCCAGCCGCCCTTCAGGGGCTGTGAGTGAGGACAGCATCCTGTCTTCTGAGTCCTTTGACCAGTTAGACTTGCCTGAGCGGCTCCCTGAAACCCCACTGAGGGGCTGTGTATCTGTGGACAACCTGAGGGGGCTTGAGCAGCCACCCTCAGAAGGCCTGAGGCGATGGTGGCAGGAGCCCCTGGGCGATAGCTGCTTTTCTCTGACAGACTGCCAAGAGGTGACAGCAGCCTACCGACAAGCCCTAGGAATCTGTTCAAAGCTCAGCTGAAGAGGCCAGGCAGTGCCCTAGTTTGGGGTGGGCTCTGAGAAAGTTTGCAGAGGAACCCGAGTTAGGATTCCTGGGAAAACTGGGGGAGTAAAGTGCTCCGTGCCTTCAGCCTGATGAACCAGGAGGATGAGGAGGGAAATGGTACCGATGTGTTTAGGGGGTCCTGGGGGGACCCACAGAACCCAGGCTGCCAGAGTGTTGTAGTGGGGCCACGGAAACCTGAAGAGCACTCAGCCTGTGCCTACCTCCTCAATGCCATGAGTATTACCCATGGTGCATTTTCCTTCCTGTTCTCTGCCTGTGTCACACAAGTTCCTGTTCCCACCAGCCACCAGAGTTAGAACCCTGACATGCCTGGGGTAGTCTGGAGTAACCTTTCCTCCCTTTTTGAAAGAGGAAGCGGCCTCTGGTTCCCATCCCCCACACCGGAGCCACCCTGTGGATCTCAGAGACCTGAAAAGACTCAGGCTGCTGTGTGGTTTCATCTCAGGGGACCAGATGCCTCTGGACCCCACCTTAGACCTCAAAGACTTGAGCTTCTGCCTGAAGCTGCTCCTGATATCTAGACTGCATGGATGTGTCTATTTCTCAGGCTAACAGGACCTAGAGTGTGCTGATTTATTTATTTTTTTGATTCTCAATTTTTTTTTCTTTTTGTGAATTGTGCTGCTTTCAGTAATGTGAATGCTGTGTCCCCGGAAAAGCCACTGTGCCATTGACATCTATGTACAGAAGTGTTTGGCAATGATGTCCCTCTAGCAGGTGGGGAGAGGCGGGGCTGGCTTTTTCAAACTTAGGTCCTGAGCACTGGATTGGCTGTCTGGGCCCTTCACACCCGAGGCTATCCACCCTCCTGCATCTATGGCCAAATAAACCTCAATCCATTAAAACCAGCATGGTGACTGCAAAAACAGTCTCCTGTTCTCTTTGTGAGATGTAGTTCACATCTTCCAGCCTTCTGATACTTTCCTCTTGGGCAAAGGAGTTTAGGACAAAGGAGTTTGGAAGTGCGGCTGGGTGGTCCAAATTTTATTTAATGTGTACTCTCAATCCCTAACAAAAGAATAAAAAAAAAAAGTCCCTCTCCAAAGCACCCGGTTCACCTGCAGCCGGCGATTGGGCCTGACCCTGACAAGCATTCCAGAAGAAAAGCTTTGGCCCAGGGTCCGGAATTTTTCTCTCCTTCCCTAGTGCTCAAGGAAGAAATGGGTCAGGTGAATTCATAGGGCTGATTCCCTTCCCCAGCCTCCCATCTCACGCTGCTCCCCTCCCCCATTGGCCTGTGCCCTGCCCCCTGCTGCCTGAAGACTCTCCCACAGTTTTTATTCCCTCTAAAGAAATTCCCCATTCTCCTGTGCTGGACAGCTTCTTGCGGGGCCCTTGCTCCCGACTCTGGGAGGAAGTGAAGAATGCTTGGAATGTCCACCCTCCCTGGACAGTCCCTCAGCCCCCTGCAGAGCTGTCCCAGCAGCCTGTTCCATTGAGAAACGGCTAGACTCCAGGACTGGTTGACAGGGAGGACAAAGTGCAGACCAGCAGCTGGTTGGCTTCGGTTCCAAGCCGGCCCTCTCTCCACCCCCAGCCCTGACCCACTCTGCTATTCACCCTCTGATCTCCCCGTTCTGGCTGGCTCCAGTTTTCCAGCTAGACAACCCAGCTGTCCTCCCAGTGCGGGGCACTTGCCAGATGAAGACTTGGGCCTCCTTCACACCTACAGAAAGGTCACAGCCTGGGGACAGACGACACAGGGAGGGGTGCTTGAGTGACAGCAGGTGTGCCTGAGGTCCCCGGACTGGGCTAGGCTTGAGTAAACACCAGAAAGACACAGACTGGGCCTTCATCCCCACGAAGTGGATGTCCCAGAGTGCTGGTTGTTGCCATCGCTTTGGGCCTGCAGTGAGTCCTGGGTGTGCTGAAGTATGGCAGACAACTTGTGGTCGGGCTGGGGGCACACAGTATGTGGGAGTATGAGAGAATTAAACGCTGCTGAGAAGTTTAGATGAGCGAAGTGAACCCCGGGAGACAGTAGAGGCTACCACTTATCTTTGTTTTATTTATTTGGTTTTGATGTTTGGGATCAAACATCATATCACTGAGCTGCTAACCCCAATTCTTGTTTATTCATGATAAGGTCTCACCATGACTCCTTATGCTCCTGTGCCTGTATCAGCACCCCAGGCTCGTAGTACCCTCCCGCATTAGGTATTTCACACTCAGAGCCCAGATCCATGTTCTCGATAGCTTTGTTACATCCTTGTGAGTCTGGAATTATTTATTCTTGCTTTGAGAAGAAACAGAACGTTTGATACGTTCATATGCTTTGTGGGAACCCAAACTTCAAACTCAGATCTGTGAAAAGTCACACCTTCTGGGAACAGGGAGCTAGAGCGGCTGATGGATAGGAGTGAACAGAGCTACACACACCAGGGAGCATCCATTACATACTGCTTTTGGCCAGGCACAAGATCTGAAGAAATTTCCTCTCCTGGAAGTGCCCTCCCTCCGTCTCCACAATGCCCAAGAAGGAAATGGGGGAGATGAGGGGTGGGGGGCAAAACGAAAGGGGGAGACCATGGAGAAGGTCGGACCTATTAAGAAATCTAGGTGTGGGGTGAGGGCCCGAGGGGACACAGCACCTTACTCTCTGGGTAGTAGCTGGGCCTGATGGGCTTCTGGGGTGATGGGGAGCTTGGACTTCCTGTGGTCTGTTTAATTCCCTGGGAGCTCGGTCATGGATAGGATGAGGGGGTGAATGTGGGGAGGTCCCCCCAAAATCTAGACTTGGGCTGTGGATTCTATCTACACAGACCTTCCCTTCACCTGCCAGGACACTTCATACCAAAAGCATTCCAGAAAGCAGGCTCAGCGATGACGCCAGGGCCCCAGGGGACAAAGCTGGAGCCGCGGGAATATTTAGTGCCACATCAGTGCTTCCGGAATGTGAACAACCTAGACAAAGGTGGGGGAGGCGGCTCTAGGAAATCACGAAGGCCTTCTGAATGCTCCCTGTCCCTGGCCTTTTCCTGAGGCACAAGCAGGACCTTGATGTTCCTGAGTGGACAACCCCTCGCGGGGCAGGGCTGTGGGAGGGAAACTCCCATGACACATTGGCCTGACTCCCTGGCTCAAGACCCAGATGACCCTTCAGTCTCCCCCTGTCCTGTCCAGCTAGCTGCCTTGGGCCCCCTCAAAGGGGGGAGTGGGGGGGCAGTAGAGCTGGATGTATGGGAAGCGGCAGACCCCGCTCCCCCAGGAGAACACATGCAGGCTTCAGCTCTGAGAATGAGAATCTGAACTCTATCAGCAATCTTGTTCCCTGAGGGACAAGATGGATCAAGGACAAAGGTTTGTCTGAGTGGCTTGAGCTTTTCTTAAAGCAGCAGAGGGGAAGGGCTGGGAACCACATAATAGGTGGCAGACTGACTCTCTGGAATCGAGGATGGAGGTACAGACCAAGATGGGGAGCAGAGGCCAGGCCAAAGCCAATGGCTGAGCCTCCAAGTGCAAGAGTTAGCTCGCTAATCTCCTATGTGGTGTGTCCCATCACTCAGCCATCCCATTGATTGTCAAGTGGTTATTGGAACTGGGGCTATACATGAGGCTTACAACGCTTGCCTGGCACGGGCAAGACCCTGGGTTCCATCTCCAGGACCTCAACAACCCCCTCCCCACCCCCACCCCCAGCCTTTTTAATTTACTAAAGGTCTTCTAGTACGTTTGTGTTTTGTTTTTGTTTCTGGGCAGGGTCTCCTCACTCTGTAGCCCAGGTTTGCCTGGTACACAGATCAATCCTCCACCGTGCCCAGCATGAGGGATACATTTATGAACAAAACTGACAACAAGCCGGGCGGTGGTGGCGCACGCCTTTAATCCCAGCACTCGGGAGGCAGAGACAGGCAGATCTCTGTGAGTTCGAGGCCAGCCTGGTCTACAGAGTGAGTTCCAGGACAGCCTCCAAAACAATACAGAGAAACCCTGTCTCGAAAAACCAAAACAAAAGAAAAAAAAAAAAGAAAAAGAAAGAAAGACCAGCCGGAAGAGGAGTCAAGAGAAGCCACAGGAGGGAAAGCTATGGCACCCTGTGGGCCATTCTGAGGCTGTGGCTTTTGTTCTGGGGGAAACAGAGTCTTTGGGAGGTGCTGAGCAAAAGAGTGATGTGACCTAACAGACCCCCTCCTCCAGACTTTCTAGCAGGCAAGATGGCTTAGCAAGTAAAGGGGCTCGCCACTGATGCACACTGCCTGAGTAGGATCCCCAGGGCCCACATGGTAGAAAGGAGAGAGCTGACTCTCACATGCTGTCCTCTGACCTCCACACGTGAGCTACGGCATGTACGCGCACGCACACCCCCAATAAAAATAGATAACCAGAGTCTAGCCTCTTGCTGAGGTCAGCAGTGGCAGGCTTGATGGGGACCTAGCAGGAGGCCAGTTTTCAGAGGAGATGGTGGAGCTTGGACTGGAGCAGCACAGAAATGGGAAGCCGTCAGATTTGGGGGCATATTCTGAAGGGGAAACCGACAAGGTTTCCTGACAGAAGACATTCAGGATGGGAAAGAGGCGCTAAAAATAAGGGCAGACTGTCCATTAGCTTGGGCAGGGAAGGCTTGCGGAAAGGAGATAATCTGGGTTGGGGTGGGCCGGGGCTGGAGTGGGGGCCTGAGGTGGGGCAGGGTGTGTGGATGTCTCAGTACAGGAGGTAGGAGAGCAGGCAGATCTTTCCAGAGATGAGCTGCCTCCCATGCTTGCCTGGTGTGATTCTGGGGAAGCGGGCAGTGCAGAGCTGAAGACTCAGTCAGCATCCGCACTCCCTCCACAAAACTTGGTAGGCTCTCTCTCTCTCTGAAGGATGGAAGGACATCCTTACACTCAGGCCTGAAGCCCCACAATTTCAAAGGTTTTCACAGTCTCCCTAAGAACTTCAGGAATGTCGCCCTGGCTCTGAGTGACCTTGGTCCCTACAGTGGGGTCAGGTGTTACTGTACAGAGGCTGGGACTGAATAATTTCCGGTCTCCTTTGGTCACCTCTGTACTCAGAATTCTCTTTTGAAGGCCCCTGGGGAGGCTGCTTATAGTCTGCTGCCCAGAAAAGGATAGAAAGGGGGCACGGCTTTGGCCCCACTGACAAGTTTGACAAGCGCTCAGCTGATAACCTCGGGAGGAACTGGAACCTCCACAGTGCAGGTAGCTGGAAACACAAACTTTCTCCAGCTCCTTTTGGATCTGAATACTTCCTTAATCTTCCTCCTCCAGCATTCTGCTCCCTTCCTGGCCTATTCCCCCCTCAAAATTCTCCCCATCCTGTCTGAGGCATTTAGGACAAGCTGGGAGAATGAGTCATCTTAACGGGGGAGGGGGCTTCTAGTCCATAAATGGACACCAACTCTTTGGTTTTAGTCTTCACAAGGGGGGCGGCTTCTGCTCTCTCCCTGCCAGGGATTTCCTGGGAAGAGGAAAGAGGCCACTGGCTTTGACAGTATGAGATTCTAGAAATAGCTGGGCATTTCAGAAGACAGCCGGGTCTGACTCAGCTTCCCTTGTAAACACATGTGCAGCCAGCCAGGGTTTTCCCAGCTCCAGAGGCTAAGCCCCCATTTCCTGAGGGACACACTCAATTGTATATGTCTGTAGAGGTCAGAATCTAGTCAGCAGAGTGCCCACCCCTCCTCCTGCCTCCTCTCTGTCCTGCCTGTGCTGCCCTGAAATCTGGGCTGTGTGTGGGTGCTCAGCCCCTGCAGCGGAGCTGACCACATAAACTCCAGTCAGACGGAAGGGGCAGTCATCCTTCAAAGCTCCAGCGCTGGAGTCTGAACTTGGGGGCTTCTGGCCGCCATTGGCCATCACTGAGCTGCTTGATGCAGCCTCCCACTGGGAAGTAGTCCAGCCACTGCCAGGAGCCCCTCCTTGCAAAG